TTAATAAAATGTTTACTGAGAATTTAATAATTAGCAAGTTATTTAACTATTTTTCACATGTTAATGTGATAGCTATCTTTGTCCTTCTGGTGACAGCTGTGCTAGTATAACATGCTGACTGGAAACTTCAGCTTTTAATATAATTTATTCATTGACTTTTCAGGTTTGGCCCCTGAAGATGTCCTGGAATTGTTCAGCTGCCCAAAAGACCAAGATTGGACTAAAACAGAGATCAGAATGGGGAAGTATTTGCTTTGAAGAGCAATCATTTTGATAGAAACCTACAGTTTGTTGATAGTCTTCACGTCCATGACATATTAATATTTCTATGTCAATGTCTAGGAAATATGTGGTTCTGATAGAGTTCCTTGGTTTTAAAATTTTTCCCTTAAAGGCAACAAGAGAGTTTGGCTACTGCATGTGAGAGCTGCTATCATGTTCAAAAGACCACCTTTAAAATACCAGGATGCACTTACTTAGAGACATGTATCAGTACACGTCAAAGAGTGGAGGCAAAAACAAAATCAATGGTTGTTTGTCTTACTGGGAAGCATTGTATTTCTAATCAGTCACTTGGTGAGGTATTCTAAAATCATATTGTATGTCAAGATGTGACCTAATATAGTTGGAATGGATGATAAGCTGGAGTCACAGAGATCTATTTTTATTGGCTTAATTCTAGGAAGATGAGAGCGTTGGCGTTAAGTGTTTACTGGAAGAAATTAAAGTTGTGTTAAACAAGGTGCTTACTGAAGGGAACTAAGAAAAATGAGGGGGAAAAAATCTAACTTCCAAGAACTCTAATTGGTTTAGCACAAATTACTGGGCTAGTGGGCTCTTTCGACAAATATTAACAGTAGCTCCACTTTACCTGTATCACGTACAGGCTGAATAAATAAATTTCAGAAAGGAGGCTCTGCCAAAGGTCTACCTATGACCTTTCTGGAATGGGAATGCAATTGTTGGGGAATTACGCATGTGGACTAGGGACTAGAGAGACTTCATTGCTAAGCCCTGATCTGCCATTTGTATTGTATTGAGCCAAACACTAACCGTATTTGAAAGTATAACTTACTCAATCTGCTGAGCTGGATGACAAGAGCAGAGTTTCTGAAAGTATGTGAGAGCAGCAATAAACAGAAGGTGAAGCCAATCAGCATTATAGTTTACAGTAGGAGGGTACTGGAGTTTTCTCAGATCGATATGACCAAGCCAAGCAAGACTATGATTTCAAGAAAAGCTAAAAACTAAGGCAGTGTTCTCATGTGTCTAAGTAGTTTATGCTAAGATATCTATCCCAGTGTTCTCTGAACAAGTGACTAGGTGGGCAGGGAAAGCAAGGGGGTGGGTACATGGGATATAATACAAAGGAAAAATGATTTGAAAAGATTTAAGGGATCTCCCCTGCCTTGAATTTCTAGTCCCTGATATCTCCATAGTAGGGAGTTTAGTGAGAACCACTTTCCCTTTGCCACATCCTATCTTAATCAGTGGATGAAGATACAAACTTCCATAAAGCCCTTTGTGTTATTCTAATAAAGGCTTATAAAGTAAATAAGATTTTGCTTCCATGGATGTGCTGGAACCAGCTCTTATCAGCTTGCAAGGGGTGATTGTTAAATCTAGTATTCAGGAATTTTGTGAACTGGTTTTTCAGCCATTGGTGGCTTGAAATTGGCCATAGAGGGAACAGTTATACCAGGGAAACTGGCAAACACTACAAGTCAGGACTTCTATTTGAGTTCTAGTGACCAGCACACCACTGGGTATAACACTTGGGGGGAAATCTTTCAGAATTAAGAGCACTTAAAACTTTTTTTTCTGCAAATTACTTTATTGTTTCCATTTGGTCCACAGCTTTGGAGAGAGCTCCAGGGTGATTTAAAAGCTGCCTACTGGCTGCAGGAGCCCTTACACCAGAGGGATGACGGAGGGAACCCTCAGGAGGAAGGGGCTCTGGAGGCTCCTAGTTGTGTTTA